GGCTAGATTGTTGGGGGTGGGGTGCAGGTGAGCTCTCGGATGGAGAGGAGAGCGAGAGGCTGCAAAGACCCTCTGCTTCCCCATCCAAACAGCAAGAGGCATTTCGTCCTTTGATTCCTTGGAAAGTCCAAATTAGAGTCTGGCTCTGTCAGGTGGCAATGGCCTAACCTTCCCTCCACTGAAGCCAGGGTGGCATAGTGGGTATGCAGTGGGCTGCTAACCACGAGGTCAGCAGTTCAAAATTGCCAGCTGCTCACCAGGAGAAAGACTGGGCTTTCTACTCCGGTACAGAGTTACAGTCTGGGAAAGCCACATGGGGCAGTTCCAGCCTGACCTACAGGCTTAACCATAAGCTGTCAGCGCTTCAATGGCAGTGAGTTTGGTTTTTAAATTTCCATCCGAACCCGTGAGATGTTTCCCTTCCCGGGTTACAGGGAGCACCGGCCTTTTCGATCACTTCCCACACCTGCAGCAGGGTACTCTTCAAGTGCTCTGCCCAGGTGGCAGGGTAGGCGTGAGGGGTGGAGTTAGGCTGGAGGTGTGGCGGAGAGCTAGTGCCCAGTTAAAGAAGCCATTTGGAGCTAACTGTATGAAACCAGACTTAATCCCCACTGTTCAGACCTCTAGCTCTCAGGTTCGCCTCTGACCCAGAAGCAGGCATTTCACACTTAGCCCTGGCAGCTCCGGTTTCCTCAACAGGGAGGGACTTTGGAATGAGAAGGGCGCAAAGAAAACCAAGTCCAGGTTTCTCGGTTACTTCGGGGCATGGTGGAGTTGGGAACCAGGGCCCAGCCAGGACCACAGCCTCCCTCACAGCCCTCTCTTCCTTGTTCTAGGGTGAAGGTTCTATGTAGAAGTAAGGATTCTTCCTGTAGACAAAAGACCAGGAAAGTATGTTTGGTTTCAGATAACTAACCCAGTGGGGATGATTTGGGCAAAGTCCCCAATCCATTTAAAAACAGCGATGCTTGCCATCTTGGCACACTGGGGAGAGATGGTCCAGGCTCTGAAATTAGACACACCTGGTTCACCTCAAATACGGAGCCCTGTTGGGCTGATAACCGAAAGGCTAGCAGTTTGAAGCCAACAGCCACTCCAAGGGAGAACGATGAGGCTCTTGACGTCCATAAAGAGTGATGGTCTCGGAAAGTCACGGGGCAGCTCTACCCTGTCCTAGAGGGTCACCATGAGTGGGAAGCGCCTCGATGGCAGTGACTTTGGTGTGGGTTTGGCTTACCACACATATGCTAGTTAACCCTGGCAAGCTGTTGGATCATTCCAAGTCTTCATTTCTTCATCTGTTGTCATCGGGCCAACCCCCTGGTAATGGTACGAACTGAACTGTAGTATGAAACGGTTCCTATATGCCAGGCAGCATGTGAAATGCTCAGAGCCCCAGCCACTAGCTTTGCTTGTCGTGGCTCACGCAGCATTTCAGCAAGGATCCTCCCTGCTCGGCTTGGACTCAAAGCGGTGAAGGGAAGGCCCCATGCCACACAGGAAAGTCAGTCCCGGGTCACAAGAAGCCTTGAGGCGCTCATCAGGACCTTCTGGAAGCTCCAGAACCGTCAGCCAGGCCCTCAGCGCTGGGAGCAATCGTCCCTCAGTTCACACGGGCAGCATGCTATCCTCTTGTGCGAAAAGAGTGGCACAATTTGTTCTTCTTGGCAGTTTGCTCCCACCCGCTGGTGCCACGGAAGAAAGCCTTGGTCAGCTGAGAGAGCTCTATAGAAAGGGTCTGCTCTGTACCGCCTGGGGTCACTATAAGTCAGGATTGACTCTGGGTAGCGGGTTTGGTTTGGGGGGGTGGCTGCTCACACAGCCAGGCTCTCCCTCTAGCTCTTCACACCCTCCCTCCCCTCCTTCCCCCCCTCCCTGTTGGCCTCTGCCAAGAGGCAAGGCAGCCTTCTAGCATGGAGGAATCCTCTGCACTGGTCCTGGAGCAGCGACTGGATCCATGCAGCCCACAGGTCGGATGCTGAGCCTGGAGGCCAACTGAGGGTAGCAGGGTAGCAGACGCCACCAGTTAGCACGGACTTGCTACCAAATGGCCCGTGCAATGCTGGAAGCCAGGCTGGCGCTAGGCAGGCTGAGTGTGACCCTGAA